TTCCTTTTAGTCAAAGAATTATTGAATGTTCTGATTTTCAATGCACAAGCATTCTATAATGACAGAGAGGAGACACTGTAAAGAAGAAAACAAACAGCAACCAGAAAACAAACAAAAAAAACACAACAAACCAACAAAAAAACAAAACAGCAGCAACAGAGATAAATCTTGACTTTATTCTAGAAAATAGTAGGCTTTGCCACTGACTTCAGTGAATCCAAAATTGAGTCTACAAACTGTGTAACTGGTGAACTGCAAGTGTGAGATAAAGCCGGTTGAAAAAGAATGAAAGTAGTGGTTGAAAATAGCATTTTGTTGTTCGTGTATTTTTGACTGTGAGGTAGAGACTGTCTGTATGTCAGAAGAGTCTGTTCTGGATATACGTTGTTGGATGTGGGAAGTTAGAAAGATGATGCAGAATGCCAGTTCCTAGAGCATCTGTCTTCCGTAAAGAGTTTAACTCTTTGCTTAATGCAAAACATTGACCTCTACTCTAATCAACTGCATGAATTCATAGCTTGAGAGACTTGTATTATTTTCCTTTACTCTTAAGACCTTCTTTTTAGATGTGCTCATCCTTTTGTCTAAAAAGAATGCATAAATTATGTTTTCACGACAAGTTGGAATTGGTTTCCCCTGAGTAACCTGAAATATTTTTTCTCCCGAAGAAGACTGAATGCAATTTGGTTAAATTATTTCTTTTTATTCAAGGTTACTTTTCATTGAAGATGGTGAAGGTTTTGTTTGGAAAAACTAAATAGCCTATTTCTTACAGAATAGTTTTGTCACATAGAACTTCATTACTGTGTAATTTTGTGTAACATTCAGACCTTCTCCTTTATGACTCCTCGAAATCCCTTCTTGTTCTCAGTAAAAATGGAAATTTTGTAAAGGGCTGTATTGAAAGCTTTTCAAAAAAATACTGAAGGATTGGACATCAGTGGTCTAAAGCTTTGTTAAAAATAAGCCTAATAGATTCCTTGTCTCTGTGGATAATGAGGTCCAACATCTGTTCACGTTTAACATGTTGTTAATTTAGAGTAAATGTCAGCTAAAATAATCACATCAACAAGAGAGGAAAAAAAGTGCTATTAGATTATTTTGATCATCTTCCAGAAAATGTAATATTTCTCTCTAAACCTGTTAAGTTACTTTTAAAAGTCTCTGTCATCTCCCCGTGGGAACTATTCCTCTGGTATTTACATTACTTTATTAGTAGGATATATTTTTTTTTCTTGGTGTTTTATTTCCTTGACTTTCTCCCACAGTTCTATCTAAACACTAATATCTGATACTGAATTTTCTCTTTCTGCAGGGAGTTTGAGTTCTACACACATCTAGGTTGTTAGTCTCTGTGCATTTTTATTTTTTCTTTTTCCCATTCCTCACACAAAAATCATTTACTTCTTTTTCTTATTCCTAGCAGTGACTTCTCAGATTTAATGTAGGACTCCAGTCACACACTGTATAGCTCTTCACTGAAAACGTGCATGACCTTGCCTATATTTAATCCCAGCTTCTTACATCTCCTTTCTAATGTTGTTAACGTAACTAAAGCAGATTGCATGTTTAATTTATTGCTCACTGTGACATCATTTTCCCTTCAACATACAAGGTCTAGGCTTCCCAGGAGGTACTGGAAAGTACCTGATCATTCAGGAGGGGCAGGATTTCATTAACAATGAGCATAGAGTTTGCAAAAGCCTACTTCAGGAAAAATGACTTTTGAAAGAACCATCGGATTTCAGGAATAAGCTGCCAGAAAAAAGCAACCTGTATATAGACTCTACTAGAGAAATTATATCAGCAAACCACTCTAACAAGTGTCATAATTTCTATAAATAAATGACTAGCATTCGTTAATTCCCACTGATTTGGACTTCTAGTCAAAATATGGATACCTCTCAGACTCATGAATAGATTCCTATTTGTGTTCTTTCTTTAAAAATTACTTTCAGAAAGAAGATAATAGCAACAAGATTTATTCTTGTACTGAATTTTTTCACGTACAGTGCCCAGCACAAAGGGGTTCACTTCCATGCTTAAAACTCCAAGGCACAGCTCTCACACAATAAAAGTTAGATAGTGTCATTTTCCTTTCCAGCCTGTTGTTGGTCTCTCAACCAGCTCATACTCTAAGCAATGAGGGAACATAAAATGCAGCCTAAATTGTTTTAACAACTTTTTTAGCACAATATTCCTGGCTTAATTTTCTTCAACCAAACTGTACTATCTATGATTCTTGCTGTGTTGCGAGAAACTGATATATGTTATAACTGCTGTGTTGTTTACTAAGATAATTTTACTTCCCCTTTAAATGTTTTTTTTTTTTTTTTTAAATTTGTACCTGCTAATTTAAGATTTACAGGATCCATGTCCTTCCATCTGTAGTGTCTTAATTCTCCTCTTCATTTAATCTGAAATTTTATACTACAACTGTGATAGCTGATAGTCAGCTTCTCCAAACAGTGGATGAATATCTTTATTTAAAAAATAAATCTGTTTTGATGATTTGAGGAATTCCAAGGTAAAATCTGATTTCTGCAGGCAGTGTTTTTTTTTCTCATAACTACTGTTTGTTTTTTGAGTGTCGGTTTTTTTTTTTTTTTAAATTATTCTTTTAAAACATATTTAAGGCATACAAGGATGAAAAATTATTGTAAATTGTATTTATATTATGACAGCGCATTATTAGATTGTTGATACCCATTCAACACTTTATTCATTATATATTTCCTAATATTTTCCTTTTCCTTTGCTTTGCTCACACTTCACTATGCACATATGTCCAGATTCAGCTTGAGATTCGAGTACCTGAAGTTATGTTTCTGATGGTAGACATGACGTGCTAGATTTCTAAACTGTCAACTTAGAGATGGTGATATAGTCAACATAGGCAATGGAGCCTGGAGGGTAACTCAGCTCCACCTGCTTGTGAATATGTTAGTACCCTCAGGGGTATTTGGTGCTAGCAGCAGTGGAAAGAAGTTGCTGCCTGATTACATTTCTGAAAGAACACAGATTTCTTGTTGGTCCTATGTCACATCTGCCATGAGAATGTTTCAGGCATCCAGGGGCATCTCAAGTGGCCCTAGACACCTGCATTTAGGCAGATGAACAAACCTTTGTAATTAGTGTATGTTTATAAATTTATAGGAAATAAAGAAGTCACATCTCAGTGACGAACCAGATACAGTAAAAGACACTGACTTCAGTCTAATTATGACAACACATAGAATGTAAACTCTATTGAAAAATGATTGATTTCTGAATTTTTGAAATAACATACCATCCAATTTCTATTCATTGCAGTGGATGGCTATGAGTTTTCCAAGTTTCACATTTCCTCTGACTTTTTTTCAGATTTCTGAATATTTTGTGTTACTTTTTAACAAATGTGTCTGTTAGTTTTTGTTCATACTTCAAGAAGCAGTACTTACAGCAGCAGGTAAAAGAGCATCTAAAATTAAGCTGAATTTATTATTCATTTATATCATGAATCTTTCACCCTCAGACACTTGACTTTGCAGCAGAAAGGATACTTAGGGATTATTTTTCTATGAGGAAACTAAACTTAAATTAAACTTAAAGTGGAAGTTGTGCTTGCTTGCCATAAGGTGTGATAGGTAGAACCAAGGGATACAATATGGAATGAATTTATTTCATTAGTAAGACTGAAATTATGAAAACTACCAAAGCGTGAATATAGGCAGGAAAACAGAAAAGGAGAAATTTAAAAGATTAAATGAAATATTTCTGCTGGGAAGACTCATTTAGAAAGTTGAGAAATCTATGTTAGAAAATATTTCCTCCTTTTCTACAGGTACTACAGCAGAAATAGCTTTCACTTAGGTGTTTTTGGAGATAATTGCTTCATCTTTAAAGGCTATACAAATATGAATGAGCCAGAAAGTCTCCAGAAATGCTCTTAGCTGGAGCTGACATGCATTCCCGGAGGCAAGATGTCAAATCAAACTGGCACGGGACCCAAAATGCTGCAACACTGAACAGTATATATCTAGCGTATTTCACAAAACAACAGCTGTTTACATTACAGCTCAGTGCTTTTCAGATGGAGAGAAGCCATTAGCCTGGGAGAAATGAGAACTGGTGAATCTGAGCAAGCCCATACAATGAGCCTGAACCAACCATGCCAAGATTTAGGAAAGGCTTTGTCAAAAAGGCCTGGAACTCCATGCTGTGTTTGCTGCCACTAAAGATGAGCATCTGTGGAGCTGTCAGTCTGTTCTGCCTTTCCTGCTAAGTCCTGCTCCTGATTTGTGCATTAACTTCAAGACTGGTTTTGAACAGTAAAAAATGAACCAACATTATCATCTGTTCTTTAACCACAGCTGTTAAAAAACTGACAAAATCACCTCCCTCATCACAGTCTATTAGCCTACTGTGCTATACAGCTGTTACACAAGAGCTATGTACCGAATACAAAATAAATTCATGGAATGGCGGATTAGCAAGTCCAACATAGGTCCAATTGCTAAGATTATTAAGTAGTTTAGGCTAGAAAGGATGTCTGAAGGTCATTCACTTCAATCCCTCAGCTCAAAGAATCTATCATCTATCCATAAGACTGATGCAAATAGTGGACTTTCAAACTGCAACTGATGTAATTTTTTAGTAACATGGCCACAAGTAAATCTCAATCTGATATGAATAAATGAATATAAATGAATAAATGTATGATCATGACTAATTGTATCAAAAGCACATTAGGCAAATAAATAGCAAAGATTGTTAATAATCCCTAAACTTTCTCCTGGTAGTACAAAGAAAAAAAATAATGAAACCTTTTTTTAAACACAACAATTACAATAAGTGGTTGTTATCACCAACATTGTTTCTATGACTTCATGCACTGAGTGAGTAGTAGCTACAGCTGGAATCACAACTGTAATCCAGACTTCAACTCTATGCTAGCCACGAAGCTTTTACTTCCAAAGTGACCATTTTAATCTAATTCTTCTGTACTTTTTTTCTGATAGCATTGAGCCCATGATTGGCAGTGTCTGGAAAACAAAAGCAATATGACTTGCCACAGTGGAATTTTACCTCTAACCTGCGGTCATACAACCAGTGGAATTTGAAGGAAATTGAAACAGCAAATATCAACAGGCAGAGCATGTGTCTGGATGAGGAGGCAGTTACACGCTGCAGGATATCTTTCCTGCAAAATCTCTGTCAAGGAGAAGGACATTGAGGTCCTGGGCTTAAATGAGGCTGGAAAGATCCCTGGTTTCTCAGTTCAGACACAGTCATGGTACTACAGTGAAAAACTGTGAGCTTATCCTGTTCAGTGTCTCTTCATATCAACTGTTACTCTGAAAAATTTGGAAGCTGGGGTTTTAAATTTGTCTTTTTTGCTTTTTTGTTTTCCCCTTTGAGTAGAAGTACAGCTATTCCACACAGATCATTGCTGTTAACCCAGGGGAATTGATGCTGCTGTGGATGTTTTTTACAAAGATGACTTGAAACCCCGGATTTCCCCATCCACATCATAGGATTTCTTGTTGTATTTTTGCTAATTGCCTTTCAAAATGATTGGAGCACCATAAATGCACCAAATTATTTGACTTTGGTCATATACTAGTAAGGATAATGGTGCGATAATTTCGTACGTTTTATGATTAATTTATACTGTGAAAAAAGAACTGTAATAGATGTTCACGTCTTTGGTTTTCTTTTTATTTGTGCCCTTTAGCAGGCACCAGCATCATGGCCTATGAACAGCAACTAAACAAGTATTCACCTTAAAATTAAGGAAAAGCTAGCAGGGTTCCTTAGGCAGTCAGTAGATGTGCAAACATACGCATGCACCTAAGGCATGCAATGTAGAATTCACTGATTGAACTACACCCAGACGATGGCCTTGGACCTTCTGCTACCAAATATCCATGCAAAATGAAGTTTATCATCTCAGAGCACTGAGCAATTCAGCTCCAACTACAAAACATCTGTCACTCAGAGGAGGGGACAGGCTTTGTGTGGTTTCATGGATATTGCCACAACATTTAGCGTGTCCTGAAAGATGTTAGAGAAATATCAGGTTTACATGTCATTTCCCTCACTGTGCAGAAAACCAAATTAGTTTGTCAGCAATTCAATCTGAGCTGAGAGCAGCCGGTCCCAGTTTACCAGCTATATTTGTAAAGGTGTTAGATGAGATCTTTAACAAAAAAGTTTCTGTGGTTCTTAAGCTGAATTGAAATGTGTTCACATTAATTTAAATACTCCTACACAGTTGGGTTAGTTCAGCTGGCAAACTCTCCAAAGGAGAGATTCTGTCAGTGAAAACATTAGATCATTGCAATGAGATACTATAGGCACACTTGTGCTCAGAAGTTTTTCTAGTCCCTGCTGACAATTTGACTTGTGGCTAGGAGGACAAATACCTTCATTTTCATTGGTGGAGGCGTCACTTGGTCAAGCTGTTTCATCCCTGGTACTAGGGCAACTATCATTAGCTTTTCTATTCTGGTTGCTTGTTTAAAGCTGCAAAATATGATCAAATGCATTAGAAGCCTCACTTGTACCATCTCTTGTAACAGGTGGGGATCATTACCTGGCAAAAATGGACAAAAACAGAAGTTCTGGGTAAGTGAGTCCTTAGTACTCTGTTACAAAGAAGGAGATGACATTTCTAAAATACAAATTATTTTTTAAAAAATCCTTCTTTTCTTTCATTCTCTTTTTTAGTATCTGCTTTTGTTGTTGTTTTCCATCCACCTTTAAGTCTCCTGCACAATTCTACCCCCTTTCTGGCAAGGTTTTATCCTGTTGACCCTTGAACTACAGCATGATCTTCCTCAATTTCAAATCCTACTTCATGTGATCTCCTTACACTTATATCTGTGTTTTCTCCTACAACTCTTATACAGTTTTTTCCATAAACATGTCCTTCTTTTTGAGGTCTGAGAATGAAACTCAACAATATGTGTCAATATTATTTGGGAAAATATTCTGAAAAGACAAGCTATTAATTTAAATAGCATTGCAAAATGTTTTCCAGCTGTCAGCAAAAAATTAAACTTAGCCTTTCATCAATTTAAAGTCAGTCAGATTTTATCGCTTTGGTTGAGATTAACAGCTCATACCATTATTCTGATGCTTAGCAGAAGGTAATTTGGAATTCATATAACTGATGGCAGGGCTTGTGGTTGTTGGTTCTACTGACATCTCAGGCACAAACCCTTCTGAATTCATTAAAAACTAAATGTCAATAACAATCTGAATGAAACCTGATTTATTAAAAGCCAATTTTTCATATCTTGTGTCTCTTCAACATATGTTAACGTATTAATGTTAAGAAACTAATATTAATAGGTTAACGTTAATTTGAATTTTGACCAATACTGTTTACCAATATTGTTTAAATTACCACTTCCTCCAGGTGATATTTAGATTACCTAATAGTTTCTTCTTCAATAAATCAGACAGTCTAATAGCAATAGTAGTCCATTATAATTAACTCTGGCTTTGGAACTAAAATTTTGATCAAAATAAAAAGGAATAAACAAGTAGACATAAGGAAAAAATGCATTTTTATTCTCATCGAATCTGAGAAACTTTTTCATTAGACAAAAATATCACATGAGATTACCTTTAAACTTCACATTTTGCATTTTAAAATACCATTAATTTTTTTTTCCTCTTTGTTTTTCTTTAGATTGCAGCAAATTCATGGGGAAAGTATTGGGGAGAAAATGGCTATTTTAGGATTCTACGTGGACAAAATGAATGTGATATTGAGAAGCTGATTTTAACTACTTTGGGATAGCCACTGCCTTTTACCTGAAGTATTATACTGTATGGTGCTTTGTGTATCTATTCTTCCACTGTTGTACATCGAGTCTTCCTAGACAAATAAAAAATTAATCTCTTATGTTATATTTCTTTCTGCTGTGGTTCGTTAGGCCTTCCTGACTGAACACACTGCAGCTATCCTAAGAGTGGTACAGTCTCACCCGGTACAAACACTCCTCTGTACAAATAGCAAATTGTCTCCAAGACTACTGACGACCTTGGTGTCTCACAGAGTGGGAAGTTCTGTCTCCTATTATTTACATCTCATCACTGTTTTGATATATTAATGGTGACTGATTCAGCAGTGCCTGAAAAAAATGGAGTTATATTGGTAGTGTTAATCTCTTTATGATACATACTGTGGTCACAAATCCCCTTAAAAATGTGATGTGCTCTTCACAGAGAATTGCTCATGGTCGTAGTAGATAAAAAAAAGTACAAATTAATGTAACTAGAATTCTAATCCTGTTACAGAACAACTGTTTCCAATTCTAGCTTACATAAATTGTATCTGTGTATCATTTTCTCTTCCAGGAAACTAATTTTTTACTGTAGGTTTCATAAAGTTTATGTATTTTACATAATATAAAAACTGCTTCTAATGAAACAACATATTCCCATTCCCATAACCGCAATTAAAAATGTGCAATTTAAATAGTTTAATTGAATGAAAAACTGAAAAAAAGAGATAATTTTTCCCTATTAAGATCTAGACAAGCTTAATTCCTCAGCTGCTTGTGTTCCACTTATTGTTTTACCCAGAAGCAGACCAATGCCAGTTCTCTCATTCTCTCAGTTCTCTTATTCCTGAAGGATATTTTTTCTGCCCTGGAGGAAAGGTCAGAAAAGACATTCTGGTGTTTGTTCCCACTGCCATCTCTGTAGCCCAGACATGGCTCCTGGAGCTGGCCAGCAAGATGTATATCAGCAAGTAATTAGTAATTAAAGGCCTTTCCAGATCTAACACTCCCTTACTACTGCCACACATCCCCTCTCATCAACATTGCTACAGACCTCGATGGGCTTGAGAGCCCTTCGGCCTGTGTATTTTTTAAAGTTTAGATATTGCCACTATTGGCATATGAAGAAATGAACTAATCTCTGTCTCTCTTAGTCTCTTTTAAATTATTCCAAAGGGCACTTGCCAACCTGAATCATCAGTCATAAAATTACCTACAAAAGAAACAACTGTGGCAAGTTATATAGATGGGGAGAAAATCCCGCCGTTAAATTACAGTAAACAAATATTCAGTGCGACTTTCTGTCTTTAATAGACTATTTCTCAGTCTTTCATTTCTAGAAAATGAAGAACTAGACTTCCATTATCATCAGCATAGGTGCATAATAGCTTTTCCTTCAAGAGCAGTTAATGTTGGTAATATACAATAGATGTCCTTGCCACTAAATTAATGTTTCTTGAACTAAACTAGGGACTTGACTTGTAGTGGTTCACTACTGAAAGAGCTATTTTAAAAATGTTGTATCATACTGCTGCAGAACAATCTCTTCTGTGGCCTCTAGTGTCATACAATAAACTGAATTTAGACACAAAAACTTTCATCATTTGAAATCTATAGCAAATTATAACACAAGAAGTTTTAGAAGTGCTAAGCACTGTGAAGGAAGAATTAACTTGATGTCTTTACTCCACCCATCTTGGCTTGGAAATCACTCCCATTTCTCTTTTATTTCCTTGCTGATTGCATCCAAAATCAAAATGGGTTCTGACAAGAGATAAATGCAGTTACACTGAAGCAGAGCAGCAGGATTTAAAAAAATGTGTGTTTGGCATCCAGTGGGTGGACCAGGCCAAGATGCAAACAACAATGCTACATGCAGAAATGCTACAGCACCAGGGGGGAGGCTGCCCATGCGGTGTTCTCAAGGTAAATAATTTCACAATGATTCACTCAGGAAAAAGTCCCAGATAGAATGAGAAAAATTATAACGAATCACTCATTTGTCTGAACTACGAAGAATTAACTGTTCCATTACACTGGAAAACTTTCTGCTTCTGAGTGTTTGGAGGAACAGATGGCATTTCAATAATTAGCAATTTTTAAAGTAGATTTTTTATTCAGTGTTCTGACGCTTCTCTGCTTCCTCTTCAGGTATTGCCTCTCAGTGTGTTTTCATTTGTGTATTAGTCTTGTTATTATAAACATGCTCATGTTTTTGACAGTAAATTTGATATTGAAGTATAGATAAAGGAAAGCCATCTGTGTATGCTTGTAACTGAGTTCCTGTAAGTTTCCATGCAGTTTCAGAGAGGCTGTTAGAATTTACTCCAGCAGAGCAGGAGAATAAAAAAATTATCCTAATTCCTGGGCACCACATTTTCTCGATAGACAGACCTCACAAGTGACAATTGCAGAAGAATGTGAAGGGGTATAACAGCAGCTTTGATGCCACCTACCTTTTCAGATTCTGTTGTACTACATTTAATAACAAGATAGCTGTCACATACACACATACAGAACTAGTTGCCAGGCTCTGTGTATCTTTTTGCCTCCCTTGGTATGACCAGCTGCCTTAATTTCAGCTGGGACAGGTAGTGAGCAAATGACTGTATGGTGCTTAGCCACCTGACAGATTAAGCCACAACACCTGCCTACCTGTAATCTACTCTACCCCTCTCTTGATTAGGCTATCGGAGAGAAATGTCAGAGATGCAGGAAAACGCTGGACTATTTGAAGAGTAAGATAATCATGCAATCAACTTTTTGATTCTATTAGATTGATTTCCAGATCTGATGATCACCCAAACAGAACAAGATGAAGGACAATGCAGCCCTGGCTGGAGTGCCCCTTTGAGATGTAAGCTGTGTTGCCCTCCATTTCATGGTTCTAGCAACAATCTAAGATCCTGTTAAAAGACCTTTTGGAGTTTAAAGCTGCATCTGTCAGTGTAGATGGAGCTAGTAGATCCATAGGCATTCCAAACCATGTGGCACGTTGGCCAGAAGTTCTTACTTTTATTCAAATATGCTTTTAAACCATCTACTTTCAACACACACAAAAGGCTTCTGTAAGTTATTGATTGTCTGTTACTTCTACTGCTTTTCTATTCAGAATGAAACTGGCTGTCTCTAGTATAACGTATTCATCAGTGGTACATTCAATAGTAGACATGCAGGGAAGGTCTTCTGAAAGTGGTTAGGAAGGCAGCCAGTCAAGTTCTATTGATGAACAGAGAAGTTCGGTGAATTATATTGGGTGCTTATGAAAAGCTCACTTATATGTATTAGAAAACTGATTTATGTTCATAAAAGTTCACTCTTTGCAGACACAATGTGACTTTAAAAGAGCGTCTTAATGGAGTCTAGCTTGAACCTAAAATCAATATTTCATTTATCGTAAAGAGAGTCTTTGCTTTCTAAAATGCACAAAAAAATAGTGCCTGGAATAAAGATATAAGAGATTCTGTCTGATAAAGCCATGTAATCCTTCATATACCAGCAGTACCATGCTGTACTTTGCTTTTTACTTTACACTGTGTTTCGTATTTCGATATGAACAAATTGATATCTGTTTTCCAGTTGACTTATCAATTAAGAGCCTGATTTAAAGTTACAAAATGTTGTGTATGAATGTACATACAGGTTCTTGTATTGATGTCAGAGGCTTTTGCAGGTTTGCTTCAAGATCAGCTAGTTAAATGAGTTCACCTCTCAGATCTCCTGTGATCCACCATAACCGAGGTGTTCCATTGTAGAAAATGGCAGGTAAC